CCCTACTTTTTTTACTCTCCATAAAAAGCTACTTTTCTTAACTACTACTCCAAATAAAGTTTTTCTAGTTTGCTTATAAATATAGTGTAATGCAGTTGTTTTCAACCCATTAACCCAAATATCCAAAATGGATATTTAGGCAACTTTAAAAGGAGGTCATTGTGTGCTTCTCATCTTCAGAGTCAAATACTGCACACTGTGAAAAGTATTATGACCAATACAATGTTGGAGATACAGGTTTATTATATTTTGATAATTAAATTCATAAAATGTTTAATATCTTAATGCCAAAGTCTTTACCTATAAGTAATTGTATACCATCCTAGAAAATATGCTTACTGCTAATGGCTACTTTAGTTCCATGAATAAAGATTCATAAGAAACTTAAAATCAGTATCGTTTTTAAATTTTTCAGTCCATTGTAGTGTGTTTTAAACATGAAGAACTAGCTTGGCACAGTGAAGGAAGAAATAAAAGACTTAAAATAACTGAATTTTGATTCTGTGTCTATCTCTCAAATGCATGGTTTTGTTCCCATTTTAAAAATTAGAATAATAACTTTTCGTGCCTTATAAGACTAAGAGTTAGAATGAAATTGAAAGGAGGGCATTAGTTATTTATAGAGTTTTTAAAGAGTTTGCTTACCGTTCCATTCTTGATCATCACTCTTTAAACTACATTATCTAATTTGTTCTATAAACCTGTTAGGATACTACAATGGACACTTATAGACTGAAGGAGTGTTTTTTACATGTATCTGTCTATATCAACATTTCATATGTATTATATGTCTTATGAGTGATAAGAAACATTCTTTTCAAAACTTGCTGCTAAAACATCAGTTTAGGATTTTTTTGATAAGAGTTTAATAACAACAATGCTATTGGAATAAATCACTGAGTCATTCCTGCAGTAATATATTTGAGCTCCAACTATGAAAGCAAAGGATGCTTATAGCAAATAACATTATTATAGCAGAAAATTTTATGTGGTTTAAAAATTCTGGTTACTGTTTTTTAATCCACTGTGAAGTAACATGTCACTATTTTACTATAATGAGAGACAGAGTTTTTTCTTATAAACCTAATTTCACATTTCCTATTATAAGACAGTAAAAGAATTTGTATAGTCACCAAAAATGATTAAAAACTATGTTTCTGAATTCTTAGAGTATATTATAATGATAGTCTTCACAAAAAAATCACATATCACATTTATTTCATATATTGGGATTATAGCTGACCTTCAGGTTTGGAGTATGCTTTATTTCATTCTGAGAAAGGAGAAAATATCCAGAATTATGTAAGCAAATATACCTGCTTCCCATGTAGTTATGTATTACTAACTAGAAAAACTGAATTCTACCATTAATTTGAATTTTTATTTGAAATTATATTTTGGGGAATGTGAGAGGGATGTGGACTTTTAGGTGAATATCCACAAGAAAATGACATTTCATAGATTTTGTTGTTTAAATATTAACAGAAATACAGAAAAGGGCACAAAACTTACAAACATACGACTCATGTTCTCACAAAGTAAACACCTGAGTCACCGCTAGAATATTGCCAGAACTCACAGGATCCCTTGTCATTACTCTCTTTGCCTGCCAAGAGGTAAATACTATCTTAACTTTTAAGTCTTGACTGTTTTGTTTTGTTTTATTAATGTCATCTAAATGGAATTATATTCTTTTGTGTCTGGCCGCTTTTGCTGATCATATTTATGTTTGCGAGATTCTTCCATGTCACGAGTAACTGCAATTAGCTTGTTCTCATTTCTGTATACTAGTATGAATATACCATAATTTATTTATCTATTCTATGGTTAATGAGCATTCGAGTTGGTTTCCAGGTTTTGATTATTACAAATAATACTATTATGAAGATTTTTGAAGGTATTTCTTATATACCTCTGCATGCATTTAGGTTGGGCATATTTTTAGGAGGGGAGCTGCTGGGTCATAGAATCTACATATTTAGTAGGTAATGTCAGAGCTTTCCAGAGTGAGTGTACCAATTTACTCTCCCACACAAGTGTATTAGTTACTGTCGCTCCTTGTTCTGATATTTAGTATCAGTCTTTAAGTTTAACCATTTGGGTGGGTATGTAATGGTATCTCATGATTTTAACTGCACTACTCCAATGATCAGATTGAACACTTTTTCATGTTTATTGGCCATTGAGATATCTTTTGTGAAGTGCCTTTTCAAGCTTTTTGACTATTTTTCTTTTGGTCGAATGTTTTTCTTGTTAATTTGTTATGTGTTCTGTATATAACACAGTACTGGTGTGAGTTATGTTTCAAAGACTTTATCCTAGTCTGTCTTACCTTTTCACTATGAATGATGTCTCTGAACAGAATTTCTTAATTTTACTTACTCTGCTTTATCAGTCTTGTCTTTTATGGCACTTTTGAAAATGTTATATTTTGAAATTTTAATTTACCTGAGGGCACAAAGATATTCTGCTATATTACTTTCTAAAAATTTTGCCATTCACACTTATACAGTTCAGCTGGCAGTTGATTGTCTCTTTTTCACCAATTCTACTGCTATCTTATTAGAGTTTTATTCTTTTGAGTTTAATTTGCTCTTATTTTTCTAACTTGAAATGGATGTATAGTTCAGTGATTTTCAGTTTTTCTTTTCTTATAGATGTACTGAAGGCTTTATATTTCTTAGCATAGCTTTAGCTGTTTCTTACAAGATTTGATAATGTGGTATTTTTATTTTCATTAAGTTCAAAATATTTGAAGTTTCCATTGTGATTTCCACTTAAATCATAAGTTCTTTATATTTTTGATTTGATGTGTTTTAAAGTCATATAGTGTATATGAAAACTCGTAGAAAAAACTTGAAGCTCTAGATCAAGGGCAGCAAGTTATAGCCCATGGGCCAAATTCAGCAACCTAGAGCCTGTTAATGTGGCTTTTACCTTTTTAAATGGGTTTTTAAAATCAAAAACATTTTGTGACATGTACATATTATATGAAATTCAAATTTCAGTGTCTGTACATAAAGTTTTATGGAACATAGCCACACTTATAAGTCTTGAGAACTGTGTTGTGTCAAAGACCATCTGGCCAACGAAGTCAAAACTGTTTACTATCGCATCCTTCAGAGAAAAAAATGTGTTGCCCCTGCTCTGGATATTTTCTTCCAGACAAGATTTACTTTGTTCCTAGCAGGCAGCAGAGGTGCTCCTGTTCTCAAATCACCTTAATCCAGTGAGGGGATTGAGATGCTCTGAAGGTTGGTATCAGTGACTGCAAGAGTCAAGTCATTCATTTCTTACTGCTAGTGTGTCACCCTTACGGGATCCCAATCCAGAACAGGTTTACCAGGCTTGCCCTTCTTTGGCAGGCCAAAGATTCCAGTTTTTGTCCCTCTCTCTCTCGGAGGCTTTCAGACTCCTGTTTCTCAGCCTCTCAGCTGCATTTTCTACAGTTTGCAGATACCTGATGGGGAAAACTGACCCAAATATCAGACTCACTTCTCCGAGTTGTCTTCTCCCCAAATCTTGGTCCCATAATTTTCCATGCCTTGTTAGCCTCCCAGTGCCTTCATGTAGATTTTTATTTTAAATAGTTTGAACCCCTTTTCTAGTTGTTTTCAGAGGGCACATTTGTTTGCATTACCTAGTCTGCCAATATGGAAATCCTTTATAAACCATAAATATACTTTGTTTTAAAAGATAATTCTTAGATGTTACAGTACAAATGTCAAGTAAGTGTTCATCTTGAACCTGAAGATGTTTGGGTAGCCATCGTATGAAGCAGTAACATCTAGCATATATTTCTGTTAAGAGATATCTCCTAGATTAGGATAGATGTAACCTTGGATATGGTGAAACAGACCTTAGCTATTATGGTAAAACAAGGCAGCAGTGAGAAGGTGGAAGAGCCTGAGAAGGAAGGCAAAGACAAGGTACAGAGGCCCTGTACCGCTCAAACCACCTAGCAGGAGAAATATACATGTGCCTGCCTTTCAGGCTTTGCCTACGATGTAAGAACTTGTTTCCTCCAGGTCCTTCTCAGCAAGCTAGGACTGTATGAACTTCTTGCTCTTCTGAACCAAAGTGCCTCATTCCCCACTTGAAATTGTAATTATTTTCCTCTTGCTCACAAATTTTGAGTCAGATCCAAAATGGACTTTTTCTCTAGATCTTGATAAATTGCTACAGAAAAGTGTTAGCAGATATGTTCTATACCCATGTATCTAATACTGACAAATAACTTTCTATACTCAGATCTAGTTATTTTCTTGCAAGGTCTACCTTCCACCTTTTCCCCCATTTCAACTACCCACTTCTAGTCCTACTCAACCAAGATTCATTGTATTAAACATTACATTATTTAACAATGCCATTTCACTCCTCTCGCCTACCCCCATTTAAGCTTCTTTCAGGATAGGTTCCTGTCTTTCCATGTCTTCCACAGAACCTGATCATTAAATACTGGCTTACTAATCAATTTTCAATGAATCGTGTCCACTTGTCATAAAATTCTAAGTATCACAATTCTCTAACAGTGCTAATACAGAGCCTTTCCAAATCATGCAAAACTCTAGAAACTATGATTTTAAGCTGCGGTCCCCAACCTTTTAGGCACCAGGGACCTGGTGCTCGTATGAGAATCTAATGCCTCATGATCTGAGGGGGAGCTGAGGCGTTGATGCCAACACTGGGGAGCAGCAGCGAATACACATGAAGCTTCGTTCATTTGCCCACCACTCACCTCTTTCTGCCTGGTTCCTAACAGGCCACGGACTGGTACTGGTCCATGGTCTGGGGGCTGCAGATCCCTGATTTAAAACTTTTAGCAGAACCTCATAATTCCTGAAGACTGCCATGATCCATGTTACCACTTTTGAGCCTACAGCCAACATGGCATGAGGTAAGAGAGTCTAACCTGTTTAAGTTCGAAAGACCTTTAAGCAT